GAAATTGACAAGCCAATCCTAAAATTCATATGGAAATATAAGAAACTCTGAATAGGAAAAAATAATTTTGAGGAAGATGAACAAATTTGGAACTTATAAGTCTCAATTTACAAACTTTATATAAAGCTATAATAATTAAAACAATGCGGGACTGGGATAAAGATACACATGCAAATCAATGTATTAAAACTAAAGGTTGAAAGGAAATTTCTTTTTTTATGTTGATTGACTTTTGGTCAATGGTGCCAAGAGAATTAAATGAGAAATACATTGTTTCAGCAAATTGTGCTGGGACAATTTGATATTCATGTGTAAAAACTAAAACTACTGCTAAAATTAAACTCTTAGGAGAAAATACAGGAGATGCTGGGAAAACTGGTTATCCACATGTAGAGGAATGAGACTAGATTCTTATCTCTCACCCTGAACAAAAGTCAACTTGAAATAGATCAAAGACCTGGGAATTAGAATAGAAACTATGCAAGTCATTGAAGAAAACATAGGGTCAACACTCCAACATATAGGCACAGACAATGAACTTCTCAATAGGACCCCTAAAGCTCAGGAAATAATGCCAAGAATCCAAAAAAAGGGGGGGGGGATGGCATCAAATTAAAAAGCTTCTGCACAGCAAAGGAAAACATTAGGAATGTGAAGAGAGAACCTACAAGAATGGAGGAAAATCTTTACTAGCTACCTTTCTGAAAGAGATTAATATCCAGAATATAGCTGGGTGAGGTGGTGCACACCTGTAATCCCAGCAATTTGGGAGGCTGAGGCAGGAGGATGGCAAGTTTGAGGCCCTCCTCAAACTTAGCACAGCACTAAGCAATTTAGTAAGACCCTGTCTCAAAGTAAAAATAAAAAGGGATGAGCATGTGGCTCAGTGTTTAGGTATCCCTGAATTCAATCCCTGGTAACAAAAAATAAACAAATAAATAAAAATTTAAATGCAGACACACATACACACACATATTCAGAATATATAAAGAACTCATAAAACTCACCATCAAAAAACCAATAACCCAATTAATAAATGGGCAAATTAACAAAATAGACATTTCTCAAAAGAATAAATAGAAATGGGCAACAAATATATGAAAAAATGTTTAACATCATTAGCAATGAGAAAAATGAAAATCAAAACTACACAGAGATTTCATCTCACTCCAGTCACAATGGCAGTCATCAAGAATGCAAACAATAAAAATGCTGGAAGGATATGGAGAAAAAGGAACACTTTTACACTGATGGTGGGATTGTAAATTAGTGCAATCACTGTAGAAGTCACTATGGAGGTTCCTCAAAAGACTAAAAATGATGAGGGCTGGGGTTGTGGCTCAGTGGTAGAGCACTTGCCTAGCACACGTGAGGCCCCGGGTTTGATCCTCAGCACCACATAAAAATAAGTAAATAAAATAAAGGTATTATGTCCACCTACAACTAAAAAATAAATACTTTTTTTAAAAAGACTAGGAATGGGGCCTGGGGATATAGCTCCATTGGTAGAATGCTCGTCTTGCATGAACAAGGCCCTGGGTTCAATCCCCAGCACCCACCCCCCCCCAAGACTAGGAATGGAACTACCAAATGACCCAGCTACATCACTTCTCAGTATTTATCAAAAAGAAATAAAGTCAGCATACTATAGCAATACATGCATACCCATGTCTTAATAGCAGCACAATTTGCAGTAGCCAAGCTATGGAACCAGCAGAAGTGTCCATTGATGGATGAATAGATAAAGAAATTGTGGTGTGTGTGTATATTTATATATATAATGGATTTCTATTCTGCCATAAAGAAAGTGAAATTATGCTTTTTGCAGGAAAATGAAAGGAACTGGAGATCATTATGCTAAGCAAAATAAGCCAAACTCAGAAATATTGTGTGCATGTACAAATATGTAACAATGAATCCCACTACAATATACAATTATAATGTACCAATAAAAACATGGAAAAAAGGGAGGGAATACTTGAGGAGCAGAACTCTGACCCAGCACCTGAGAAGAGCACAGGGATTTAGATGAGCATTGTGTCTCTGCGCCAGCTGTCCTTGATCTACATTCATGCCTCAACTGGTGCCATTTTTCCGTGTTTGGAATTCATCAGTTACAATTCAGCTTTTTCAAAGTGTTTCAATTAGCATCTTAAAATCCCCCCCCCCTTTTTTTTTTTTTTTTTTTTTTTTTTTTTTTTTGGTACTGGGAATTGAACTCAAGGGCACTTAACCACTTAGCCACATCCCCAGCCCTTCTAATATTTTATTCAGATGTAAGGTCTCAATGAGTTACTTAGGGCCTTACTAAATTGCTGAGACTGACTTTGAACTCAAGATCCCCCTGCCTCAGCCTCCCGAGTTGCTGGGATTACAGGATTTCTTGGTAACGACTTCAAACTTAATTTGGATAAGTCAAAAAGATAGTCTATCAATGGTCTAGAACTGCAGCAAAGAATTTAGAAATGATTGTTTTGAAGATGAATTCTGGTTTCAGAAACAAATCAGTTCCAGGCAAATTTAAGAAACTATTTAGGATCCTTCAACAATTAATTCAAAATGGGAACTTATATTTTTAAATAATTTTAAACTGATACAAATAAATGAATACATGTTATTGGGCAAATTTTGGAAAATGTAAAAATGAATGAAAGAAAAAATAACAGTCATTTGCAAGTCACAACCAAGAGACAACATCCCCTAATATCCTACTGTTTCCTTCCTATATGTATATATGTATCTGTTTGCATGTATGCACTATTTTGATAAAATTGTATCATATCAAACATTTAAAGAAGAGAAATATAGGAGTAAATCTTCATGGACTTTTGTTAGGCAATGGTTTCTTAGAGCATGATAACAAAAGCACAAGTGACAAAAGATAAAATGACAGAGCTACATCAAAATAAAATAAATAGAATTATAAAATTTTACTAAAATATTTACCAAAATATTTAAAATACAAATTCATGATATGGTAATATATGTGCTTCTTTATTACCTTACTGGATGATAAAATCTAGCAGTGGGTCTAAATACCTAATTTCAATCTAAAAGACTTATTTTTACTTTGAAGCTAACTGTTCATTTGACCTAAAGCCATTTAGTCCCTCTTAATAATCCCACTGGCTCAGGATGCTGAGGCAGGAGGATCAGGAGTTCAAAGCCAGCCTCAGCAAAAGTGGGGCACTAAGCAACTTAGTGAGACCCTGTTTCTAAATATAATACAAAATAGGGCTGGGGATGTGGCCAGTGGTCAAGTACCCCTGAGTTCAATCCCCGGTTCACCTGCCCTAAAAAAAAGAAAAGAAGTATCTCCAATTTGTCTATTAACCATTGGATTAACCTAGATTCTTAACATTTATATGAGTAATATTTGAGAATATTATGAAAACCCAGAAAAATTGCAAAACACCCAATATTTTATGTACAATTTTAATAGATACATTGATTTCATTAACTTTATCCATGGAATCAGTTTTAAAAAGTCTTATTCTTCTGAATGTCACCCTTGAACTCAGTCTGCTAGTTCTTTCTTTTTTTTATACCTTTATTTAATTTTTTTTATTTTTATGTAGTGCTGAGAATCAAACCCAGTGCCTTACACGTGCTAGGCAAGCACTCTACCACTGAGCCACAACCCCAGCCTAGCTAATTCTTTAATATGATAGCTAAGCACTGCTGCCTTGGAGAACAAAATAAAAACTTTTATGGAAGATCTAAAAGTCCAAGGAGCAAATTCTAAGACTCTCTGGCAGACTGAATGTTAACTCAAAAACCACTCTAAGTCAACACTGGGCTACATTGCTTTCCTTTTTTAAGATCTCATTTGCTAGTAAAGAAATTTCTTTTTCTTCATACTGCAAGGTTTTAACTAAAAAGGTGATATTGTTTCCATATTCCAGAACCCATCTTTCTCTCCAGAATATCTGTAACAATTGTTGGGGGTGGTGGTTGCCTCTGCAGATATATTTAATTTCTTTTGTCAGAACAACCAAAATATGATAACTAATTCAGGCTGCTTTCCTCCTTTATTTAACAAGAAACAGTGGGTCCAATTTAGTATCTGATAAAGTATATTCTCTCTGCCTTCAAAAGATGATCTCTGATCTTTCTGGGCTGGGGATATAGCTCAGCTGGTAGAGTGCTTGCCTCATATATACAAGGTCCTGGGTTCAATCCCCAGCACCACAAAAAAAAGATGATTTCTGTTATTTTATACACAACTATTAGTTCCCTATTAGTGTTGTAACAAATTCCCATGAATGTGGTGGGTTTGAAACAATGCAAATTTATTACTTCATAGTTTTTGGTGTCAGATGTCTGAAATGGGTCTCAATGGACTAAAATCAGAGTATTGGTTGAACTTTCCAAAAGCTGTAGCAGAGAATCCATTTTCATGCCTTTTTCACTCTCTAGAGGCTGCCTATATTCCTTGGACTATGGTCCGTTTTCATCTTAAAGCCAGTAATGGCTATGTCTTTCTTACATTGTATTACTCTGGACACTGACTCTCTTGTCTCCCTCTTTCACTTCTGTTATTATATTAGGCCCATCTAGGTAATGTAGGATAATCTAGATAATGTAGGACTTAATTTCTACTACTAGTAGTAGTAGTAGTAGTAGAAGAAGAAGAAGAATGCTGGGGATTGAAGCCAGGGGTGCTTTACCACTGAGCTATACCCTCAGTTCTTTTTCATTTTTTAAGACAGGGTCTCACTAAGTTGCTGAGGCTGACCTCAAACTTGTGATACTTCTGCCTCAGCCTCCTAAATCACTGGTATTGTAGGTGTGCACCACTGCTCCCATTTGTGGTAAGATATATCTTTGATTGTTAGATTACTAAATATCTATAATTTGGATTTCCAAGGTATATGCAATTTTAATTATGTAGCTACTGACAGATTGCCCTTTATAGAAGCAAGTAAAATGTGTAGGATAAGACGTGGTCGCATTTTGCAGTTTCCCATCTCAAAACCTTGACCTTCTGTCTTTCATAGGATCATGCTGATATTGAGTGGAAGTTTGCAAGGACAAAGCTCTGGATGAGTTACTTTGATGAAGGTGGCACCTTACCACCTCCTTTTAACATCATCCCCAGCCCCAAATCATTTCTCTATCTTGGTAACTGGTTCAACAATACCTTCTGCCCCAAAAGAGACCCTGATGGTAGACGAAGAAGACACAACTTGAGAAGCTTCACAGTAAGACTTTTAAAATCTATTTCTTTTTAAACAAAACTGTTTTCTCCCTTTCCTCCTGTGTGATACTCTCCATCTTAAACATCATAAAATCACTTCAACTTACTTATCTTTTGGAGATTTTTCAGGCAAGTTATGCCATGTCATTCTCCAGTTCTAATATATAGAAATATATTCAGATGGGCGGGTGGATTAGGTGCTGGGAGACTGTTGATGTAACTTCTCTGTCCATTTTCAATTATAGGAACGCCATGCTGACAGCCTGATACAAAATCAACACTATCAGGTAATGCTTCTTCATGGGGACTAAACACAATAGTTCCTGGCCAGTTCTGTGGACTAAAAGCAAACTTCACTCCAGCTATGACTGGATTTGATGAGAGTAGGAGGCTTGGAAAAGGTGAAGTCACTCTTTAGTGTGGATTCCAAGCCCTTTAACAGCTGGATCAGCAAGGTCCATAGTATAGAAAGCTATCCTTAATCAAAATGCATTCTGCTGTCATGTATAACAAATTAGAACAAACATATTAATTAATTAATTTAAAAAAGAAAGCTATCCTTGAGATTAAGTAAAATAGGATATGTGGCTGTTCAGTCAGTCAACAAACATCTGAGACCTACTATACATCAGACATTAGGCTAAACACTAGAGATACCACTGTGGACATAAGCTTTCTACTCTTATCTAGCCAGAATTAAATACATTAAATAAATCATTATGTGAACAAAAGGCACAGAGTAATGGGAATATATAATAAATAAGGAAGATAGTACAGGACAAAACTAACCTCAATAAAGTAAAAGCTTATATGCATGTCAGAAACTTAGGTCTTTCTAAATTCCAATACAATTTTAATGAAAGAAACATATAAACACTTCTATCTCAGCAGCTAGAAGGTAAACAAGCATCCAAATATGTGAGATATCCCTTGAGAGTAGTTATTGCCGATCACAAGAAAGAGAACCCTCTCTCGCCTTCCTAATTAACAGAAACCCCAAGTAGAAAAATGTTCTGCCAGGCTTAAAGCAAATTCAGTCTTATTCTAGAAAGTCAATTCCCTAACTTTGTTCCCTTTAAGCAAAACTAAGAAAAATAGAAAATACAGAATATGGTAGGTAACCTTTCTCTCACTAATCCTGCCTCCAGCCCTTATTATTTTCACAATAATGAGTCTTAGGCAAGATTCATTGCCTTCATTTTATGTTTCATAGTCCTCACCAAAACAAGAATCAGTTGTTGGGCTTCTCAATGAGTTATTTAAGTTCTCAGAGTAGCAGAAGTAGTAAGTGTAGCATCAGCTAATTATTACTATAGGCCTTGAAATCAGCTTGAAGTAGAATTGAATTCTTATTTTGACATTCACTAGTCATGTGTTCTTGGAGGCATCAGTTAATGTCACTGAGCCTCAGTTTCCTCATGTAAAATGGGAATAATTATAAAAATTGTATTGTGAATGTTTAGTGGTGTGTATGGGGGGGGTGTTGGTTGGCATAGTGTCTGATACATTGCAATAAGTGGCCTATCCTTGTCACCATCACTAATATAAGCCATACTATGTGTGTGCCATTCCCCTGGAGGCCAAAAAGAGGCCATCCCTGTAAAGAAGAATTGGCTGGCTCTAAGAAAAATATGTTGCCTGTGTAGCAGACTTAGTGACTCTCAACTTTATAGAGAGAGAGGGGGGAAAAAAAAGTACATGTTACTAGGAGTATTAAAGTTTAATCCATCCTGAAGGGAAAAGATATCGACTGTAAGCACTCGAGGATTATTCTACTCTCATTATTGTATAAATATAAATACATGTTTACCTAACACTTGAGTAGAAATTCTTCCTTTGGAGGTGAATTTGACTTTACTGGCACAATCTGCTATCAAATTCAGATATTGAATAATTAATTTAGCCAATAGACTTAATTCATTTTTTTTCTTGCAGAAAATGTCTGGGTCCTGGGAGGATTTTGTTTGTAAAGATGGTGTAAGAAGAATGTTCTATTTTCTATGTAGGTTTCTTATTTTATTTCTGAGAGCCTGAGAAAGAAACTGAATGCCTCATTTTTTTTTAATTCCAGGAAGTTATCAGGAATTTAGTCAAAAGATATGTGGCTGCTATGATAAGAAATTCCAAAACAAATGAGGGGCTAACAGAAGAAAATTTTAAGGTAATCTAATCATGAAGTGGTTTAATTTCTCATTTCTTAAGTATCATTTAATCTCCAGTCTTTAAGATTCTGGTGGTGGAATTTCCCCTGCCTACAACATAGCAAAATCAGCTACAGTTCTTATTCTAAGAGAATAAGTATTGAGAGATTTTAACAATGCCTCTCACACCAGTCAGTTTTATGAACAAAAGAAATCTGTTCTATGCATTCTTTTAATAATCTGGGTATTTCTTGGTGTTACAATTGCATTACTTCAAATGATGTGGCAAAATACCAGGAGACTTAAAAGGCCTTCTTTGCCAAATACATATAAAGGTCAAAAACTCTATTATGAAATCTAAAGCCTTAAGAAACTCTACCATTAAGCACAAAAATTTTCCTATCAGAACTAGCCTAAAACAGTGATCCTCTTTTGTCCCCCAGGGCACATGTTGCAGTCTGTAGATATTTTTCGTTGTCATACTGACATCTAGTGGATAGAGATAAGGTTGCTACTAAACATCCTACCATAAACAAGATAGCCTGCCACAACAAAGAATTATCCTGCCCAACTTGTCAATAGAGCCAAGGTTGAGAAACCCTATCCTAAAACACATATACATTATATACACATATATATGTTATATAATTTTTCCTAGGTCACACAGAAAGGCTATTATCATAATCCATAGACATAAGTCATCTGTTGAGGGCCCACTATGTGCTAAGCACTCTACTAAGTGCTGGGGTACACTGGTGAGCAAGATCTAACTCATACCTAGTTTCATGGAGTGACAAACAATAATAATGTAAAGTGATAAAAGACTTAAGGTTCTGACAGGGTAAACACAGGGCACTGTAGAAACAGAGAGGAGGGACACTCAATTGGACTTTGGGAGTCAGGATAGATTTTCCAGAGGAAATGATGTTTAAGCTGAGTGTTGCAGGAGGAACTAGATAAAGGGGAGCTGAGAAAAGTGTTCAAGACAGAATGGCATAGATAACGGCCCAGAGGCAGGAGAGAATATGTTCATATGGGTGAACAGTAGAAAGCTTGGGGAAGAAGAAATGAGACTGCAAAGATTGACAGGTACTAGGACTTGAAAAATCCTGTAGGCGCAAAATGGCATTTCTACTTTTTCCTAAGGTCAGTGGTAAGTTACTCACACTTTTTAAGCAACAGGATAACATGATCAGATTTAAGCTTTCAAAGATGGCTTTTAAAGAAACAACCTAACATCTAAGCAGCCAGTTAAAGAGAGGACTTGAATGAACAGGGACCCATATCTCAAAACAGCAGTCCAATCACCTGAACTTTCACTTCTCTGATTTCATTCCTTGGAATCATAATAGCTTTTTCTTCTCCAATGGTCCTTTTCTATGCAATAACCTTGAAAGCCAGTGCCCTAATCTAATACTTTGTCAGTTAACACTATTAGTCTGTTGATGTGCACCTGATGGGGAGGTTCTGAAATCAACTTCACTCACTACACAATCTTTCAAATTAATTTCTTTTTCTTGGGCTTGAATAATATAATTTTTTTCTGATATTATGTGTACTTTGTGGTTTGCTACTAGGCAAGACCTAGAACATTCCAAAGGGTATTCAATGTGCCCATTTTGAACTAAAGTTCAAGCTTTTTGACATACATGTCTCCCCTCTTTCCCTAGGAATTAAAGCAGGACATCTCCAGCTTCAGATATGAAGTGCTTGACCTCTTAGGAAACAGAAAACACCCAAGGAGAAGCTTTTCCACAAGCAGCACTGAATTCTCTCAGAGGGATGACACCAATGATGGCTGTGGTGGGGCTCGGGCCAAATCCAAGAGCGTCTCATTCAATTTAGGCTGCAAGAAAAAGGCCTGCCATGGGCCACCTCTCATCAGAACCATGCCAAGAGCCAGTGGTTCCCAGGGGAAGTCAAAAGCTGAGTCATCAAGCAAACGCTCCTTCATGGGTCCTTCTCTCAAGAAACTGGGTCTTCTTTTCTCAAAGTTTAATGGTCATATGTCTGAACCCAGTTCAGAGCCAATGTACACAATTTCTGATGGAATCGTCCAGCAGCATTATATGTGGCAGGACATCAGATATTCTCAGATGGAGAAAGGGAAAGCAGAAGCCTGTTCTCAAAGTGAAATTAACCTCAGTGAGGTAGAATTAGGTGAAGTCCAGGGTGCTGCTCAGAGCAGTGAATGCCCTCTAGCCTGTTCCAGCTCTCTTCACTGTGCATCCAGCATCTGCTCCTCAAATTCTAAACTTTTAGACTCCTCCGAGGATGTATTTGAAACTTGGGGAGAGGCCTGTGACTTGCTCATGCACAAATGGGGTGATGGACAGGAAGAACAAGTTACAACTCGGCTCTAAGTCAAGTCCCTATCACCTGTTCTGGAACTCAAAATGAAAATTTGTAATTTCCTTATTCTCAGAGGTGACATAGAATATGACTCCCTCACTGGCCCCCTAGAAAGGAGAGTGAAACTCCTATTATTCTCACTTTTCATAGCCACATTCCCCATTTTTGTTCTTGTTTTATTATTACTATTATTTGCCTTTTTATACCTATTAACACTAAGTCCATCTCACAACCAACTGAAGGGGTGTTGCCCCTAATCAGCAGAGGTGCAGTCGGGTGCTTAACCCTTTTGCTTTGCTTTCGTTTTCTTACCCTTGCTTCCTTGAAGCTACAGGTGCCACTTTGCTACTGTTGCTGCCGCACAGATTCCTGACCTTCCTCAGGATCTCATGCCATCTCCCCACAGGGCTGAGGGATGTGGTCAGCAGTCCCCACCAGCTATCAGATAAGGCAAACCAACCTGCCTATCTTTGTTACCCTTCAGTGCTACACGCTGCCCATGCTGGTTCAATGAACAGCATCAAAGGGAGGCTGAACAGACTCCAAAGAATTGTCAGCTTGTGGTTTCTAGGTATAACTGGCCTTTTTGTTTTGTTTTGAAACACAACTTCTCAATTGTGGGGGCTGTTGAGTTTTTGTTTCTTAAAGATGTGTTAGTTTCTTAATGTGTGCCAATGAGATATTTACCCTATAGTATATGTCATATCTAATAAGTTAGGCAAATTCCTGTGTTTGTGTATTTCAGTTAACTTACTACATTTTAAAATTTGATAGTATTGAAATTAGTATTTAGGATGTATACTGTTTTTTAAAAACTTCTACTACACTCTAACCAATTATCATTACATCTCATACATTGGCAAGAAAAAAATAATTAGCTGGTATATTTATAGGGTCCTATCTACTGTTGATAGTTTTAATTATCATTGCTATCAAGGCATTTCTAAGATAAAAGCCTGGATTTAAAATATTTTTATCAGAACAATGATATCTTGCTGAGGTATTGAAATCTGAAAAAAAAACCCATCTTCATGTTAATTAGTTGCTTTCTGGGAAAAAAAATCAACAAAACAATTTCACATCTAGATAATCTAATTCAGGTTGCAGTTTTAATATTCATTGGGGGCAGCAGAAGTGCATGTGTAAACTTATGTTAGATATAAAACATAACAACCCTAGCAGATCCATGGACCTGTGAACATGAACCAAATTCTACTGTCTTCAAAAAAGTACTCCTGGAGATTAAATTAAGAATGCATAGCCTAGAAAAGACAGGTTAGTTGTCACCCTATGCTTTTAAATGTCAATTCCAACAGGAGCCCATCTAAATTCCTGTATGTAACTTCTGGTTAAAGTAATTAAATAAGGAATTTTCAAATAATGAAAATATTTCTCCAAACTAGCTTTGAACAGTATTGTTTCTGTTGTTCAAATTGATTTCCATTGCTTTCCCAAGCATTGGGAGTGATGGTTAAACTGTTTCACATGGAAAAGAGTTAAATTAGGGAGCTAGGGCAGCAAGAGTCTTGAGATGTTGAAGAGTAAAACTCAGATCCAAGGAAATGAGATCAAGCTGTGTCAAGACCCATTTGGCAAAGGGTTGTCTCGAAATAATTCCTTGATCATATCTGAAGTGGTCATTTATTCAAATCTAACTTCTCCCCTGCTTCACTAAGTAGGATTATCATAAATGGCTCTGACATGTTTTAAAACAGGTTACTTTCAAAAAGAAAAACAAAACAGGTTAATTTCCAAAAGAAAGGTTTCTAAAGTTAAAGATTCAACTTTCCTAGTGAGGCACAGTGGTACACACCTGCAAATCCTAGTGGCTCAGGAGGCTGAAGCAGGAGGATCACAAGTTCAAAGCCAGCCTCAACAACAGTGAGGCCCTAAGCAACTGAGTGAGACCCTGTCTCTGAATAAAATACAAAATAGGGCTGGGGGTGTGGCTCAGTGGTTGAGTGTCCTGAGGCCAATTCCCAGCATGCCCCCACTCAAAGCTTCAACTTTCCAGTCAAATTCATTTGAATAACAACAGAACCCAGATTACATTCCTAACTCATACTGATGGCACTAAAGAACAAAACCAAAAACAATATATAACCCAATTTCATCAAAGAAAAAGATGTCTTTTTCACAAATATATGTATGTCTGATAAACGAGGCATAATCATTCTAGGGGTTATTTTATCATCAGAAAACAGAGTAGCCAAACATGGAGTCATGCACTAAAATATGACTTTTCTCAGTTTATATTCTAGAGAGAATATAAATATAATCACAGTAACCAACTTTGACTATTGAAACGAGTGTTATATTTCATGGGAGTATATGCCTTTCCAAATCTTCTTATTGTCCTTGTGACAGGCTTAGGACTTCACTAGTTACCTTGAAACCTCATTTATGATGGGAGTTATGCTAAACAGCTATTGCCCTAACTTCCATCTTGGTGACAACATTTTTATTAACTCTAACTTGCAGAAAGTAGAAGGGGAAAGAGTTTTGCATTCACTTCTTAACTTTCTGGATCAGCTAAAAAAAAAAAACAACATATTTGGGGCTGGGGATATGGCCAGTGATAGACTGCTTACTCACCTACCATGTTTAAGGCTCTGAGCTCCACCCCCAGCAATGCCAAAAAATGTATTTAATATCAAAATACTTAAGTATGTCCTCTAACCCCAGAGAAGGTATAAGCCAACTTGAGAGTACATTTACAAGCTTAAAAGCTAAAATACAACCTGAGAGAAGAGCAATTTTATTCAAACCTTATAAAAGGGGAAATGTGTCCAGAGGATTTGTTCAAAGGCACAGAGCTAGTTAATAAACTCAAATCTTCTAAATAATAGAAACAAGACATTACAAAAATATGTATTATATATAAAATCGTAGATGTATAAATGAAATTGCCATTACAGATACCTATTTTTTTCCATTTGCTTAACATGTTGTAAACTCCAAAATTTTCACTGGCATATTTAAATGTAAAGTAAGGAACGTATCACAAAGTAAAAAAATATATAAGAATCATGTACTAATTGATTTTTTAAAAGTATTCTGTGGTTTGTTTCCATTATATCTGGCTTTAACTTTTAAAAACCTTGGATTCATTTGAGTCAGTCTCCTTGATATTAAGGTAAATATATAGTCCAAACTGTATTAGAAAGTGACCAGTGCTTAAGTATATCCTTCACTTCTAACTTTAACTCTAGTGAAGTACAAAGATGTAGGAAAGATTCTAAATTCAAAATCACTGTTTTTCAATGACAAATTTTAAAGAGAATGTAAATTCCCCAAGTTATATCTTTGTACTTAAGTGGGATTATGGAATACTTTCCAGTTCTTTCTGCCTCCCATAATCATTTATTTTACTTTGACCTAATTTAGACTTAAATTGTTCAGCTAAGTCCAAAATACCTGCCTATAATTTGACTAAAGAACTTAAAAAAAATAGGACCTCCATCTTTTTAATGGCTTAATACCTTTTTTTAAAAAAAGAACTTTATAGTTCTAACAGTAGTGCAAACCTCCTCTGAACAATGCAAAAGGTATTTTAGAGAAAAATATGAAGTAATGTCTTAGCCAGAAAATATAAAAACAACTGTTTGGCATTCACACTGCATTGTGGGGAAGATTCAAAGTGGTGTTTTGACAGTTTTAGTGGCCCAGACCTTGATTTGTTAAATCATCAGGCAAAAAGGTATTTGAAGTTAGGCTGAAACTCCTTTCTGTTTAACGCTACAAAAGAAAACCTGAGCATATTATTTTGGTAATCAAGTTTTTAAAACAGTGCTAACAGATCATTTGTAGAAAGAAGTTAATTAAATGGTTCAAACCATTTAAATACCTCTTCATACACACTCCCAACTCCTGCAGCTTTGCCCAGGGTTATTTTAGATTGTTTCTTTGGCTTAAGTGCTCCAAATACCCACTTTGTATACAACTAACCTGAGTGCCCTCAAATTCTATGTGAGCCTTACTTTAGTACACAGAAATTCTATTTCAACTATACTGACAATGACCCTTTCTCAATCACCTTTCCCGAATAGATGAAGGTTTTGGCTTTCTTTACTTTTTCAGATGTTCCGAAAAGTGAGAGCCTGGTCTGTGTATGTATGTCCATACACATTGATAATTTCCAGTCTTCTGTTAAGCAGAATTTGATGCATCTGGCCTTGACCTTTCATCCCTTTTGGTGATCACTAAATCATTTTGAAAGGGAGGAGAAGCAGGGATAACTTTTCAATGGAAAGACACTTCCTGAGATATGGTGAAGTACTAAAATGAACTACCATGCTAACATCCTCTACAGGACAACTGTTATATCCAGAGTTTTCAGGATTTGCAGTTTCTGGTTTTAAGGGAAAATAATTAAGCATTTAAGTCAGAATAAAAAAGAACTTACCTGTAAAAATATACATTTTTGACCAAATAAAGTCTGCATACTTCAGACTTACTACATATTTGAGATATTAGTATTCATAATGCTGATAATGTGGCCTATGATTTTCCTTAGTATGCTACTTGATGTTCCAGAGAAGGTTGGTGGCTTTTGAGTGCTTTTACATTTAGAAAATGAATGTCTACTAAACAGAGAAGTTAATTGCAGGAACGATGCAGGCAGCAAGCTAGAGTACAATACCATCTTTAAGCTCAATATTTGTGTTCTCTCATTCTAGAGTGGATTTGTCTTGTACCTGTTAATTTATTAGATCTGCTATTTTTCTAAAGATATACTGTCATTGTTTGTGATACGTAAGAAACCTATACACATTAAGAATTATAATACAAAATTAAGCAGAATGCCCTTATGTCAAAAGCTTGTTTTCTTGTCATGTTGTGAAAGCTCTGTAGAGGCTTCCTATTACAGTATAAATTAATAGCAAGCAAAAGATAGCCCACTGCTTTTGATCATTGTAAGCAACATCTGTGTATCTGTCCTCCCTCTGTAAAGTCTTCTTTAAAACTCAAAAGTGACTCGATAGAACCCAAAAGGACTAACTGAAGAAGTAAAAACAGCCTAAAGTTTGGTGGTCATCCTACCAATTGGCAGTACATATTGTCCTTTGTCCAAGAAGCTGTAAAATTAATGCACACCCCCTCCAAAGCATTGTCCTCAGTGGCACATGAATGAATAGGTGGCAGTGTCCCTTTTATTTAAACCTAAATTAGCCAACTACTTGCAAGTAGCTAAACTGGGCTTGGTTATCTTGTCTTTTCCCATAAAGCTCAATATATCCCCAAAATATTTATTACCATTGTCTTACAACCTAGAAATCCTCTTGATAATTTCCAGTCTTTCACAACCCTTGCAACACAAGACAAAAAGGATACTTTGGATTTTTGCTAGGTTCTTGGGAGACTTAAATGGTGATAGTGAAGTGTCAAAATCTTTCTAAGTAAGGACCAGTGTGGCTAAACACTTTAAAACATAGGACTAAACCACAAATATGTTAAACTTCAAAAAACCAAATTGAGATGGAGTTGCTTGATTGAAATATGTGGCTTCTAAGGAATGGGATGTGTGGCTCAGCGTTAGAGAACTTGCCTAGCATATGTAAGGCTCTGAGTTCAATTCCCAGCACCCCCACCCAACCAATGTTTCAGGATTAAAATATTAACATCACCATTTTCTCCTTTAACAAAATCCAGAAATCAACAGTATGTAAAAACTAGCTCAGAATAACCTATAAATCATTTTTCAAATTTTGAGCTATATTTGAGTTGAATTTCAGAAGGCAGCAAGTTCTCACCTGGGGGCACTATATTCATAAATTCAAAACAGATACATAGGATTATATCTTGAATTGTGCAATATCACAGATTGGCTTTCATAAATAATGTACATTTTAACCAACTGGGAGGATTGATTTTTCCAAATCTTATCTAAAAAATAAAATGGGTTTGCTAAAACTCTGAAAGAGAAATAAAAGCTAAAATTGGGGGAAGGCAATATGGAAGAAATGCTAGATTATAAATCTGGTGTCAGGTTTTATCCTCATAAATTTAGAATAAGCATATAAAGTAGGTTTATAAAGTAATGCCATTTTCATAAAATTATCAGAATATATACACTTAAATGAATGTTGTCCTTCCAAGTAGTCCCCTTAAGAAGCTGTACTTATATTCTAATGATGCTGCCATTACTCACCCTATTTTGGACTTCTACTTTTTGAGAGCTTTCAAAATTCAAAGTATAATCTCTGAATATTAACTAGTAGGAATTATGACCCTTTAAGAGAATATTTTTAGAAAGTCAATGTAATTTTAGATAAATTTTAGTAAAATGCTGAGTGATCAAGCTGAGTTATTTTATGGGTTAAAAAAATACTTTAAGTGGTATTATACAATTGGCACCTTGCTGAATTTTCACAATTGTATATTCCCCTGGAACCATTACTCAATGTCAAGATAGATAATATCTGCATTATCCCCTAAAAATTCCTTACTCCCCTTCACAATCTAGACTCTAGTCTCAAAAGGTGTGTGGAGCAGTGGCAGCCATACTGAAATTAGCATACAGTCCCTCCTCAAAGATACTTTAAAGAGCAACAATATTCAGATTCAGAACTTCCAGATTTGGAATCACAATGATGTAACTCTTAAAACAACTATGTTTAAATAGGAGATACATTGGGAATTTCAATGACTTATGTTGTGAAAGAACTGAGAATTAGCTCTCCAAATCTTATTTATCTACAAAAAATGACGTTTTTAAAATGTAGAGATTGACAACTAAGCACTTAGCAGAAAGAGGAAACAGTAAAGAAAAACCTTGGGCTGGGGATGTGGCTCAAGTGGTAGCGTGCTTGCCTGGCATGCGTGCGGCCCAGGTTCGATCCTCAGCACCATATACAGACAAAAGATGTTGTGTCTGCCAAATACTAAAAAATAAATATTAAAAAATTCTCTCTCCCTCACTCTTTATAAAAAAAAATTATTAAAAAAAAAAAAAAACCTTTATCCTCCATAGAAAAACAGAGGTGAGGATTGTGGACTCAAGACACCATGGTAACAGAAACAGTAGGAGGCAGCTTCAATGGGAGGATGGCAGTAGTTAAGTCATTTAAACATCACATGTTCAGGCTAGATGTTTCCTGTACAAGATCTATTCCTATTATTTAAAACACACTTTTACCACTTCATGGTCACACTTTATAGGGCTTCCTCTTACAATATGTATTAAACAATCTGTTTCAGTAACCAAGACAATGAAGCCTGTAGTCCAAAAAGCACAGTGATAATCCTACTTGGTATATTTGGACAGGAGAAGCAGTCGGAATGTTCAAGTGTACAGAACCACTGGAATCAGTGGAACCAGTGGCATTAAACATGAATGTTTTGAGTTCATAAGAAGAAGTCTTCTTAACACATTAGTCTGTGGTTTACTTAATGTTAAAGGAAATCCTGTAAAGATATGGGCCTTCTCCGGGACAATTCAGTTGAGGATATATACATCCATCCTTCTCAAGGGAAAATATATAAATTTGTATTCATTTCTTCTAATATAAGAATGTACACTAGAGAGAGTATTCAAGAAGACAGCAACATCTGAACTCTTCACATGATTCTATTTCTATAAGATTTCTCAAAATTGAAGTTCAAATTGAAGATGGGAAGTTTCTTCCTAGCCAAAACAGTGAATACACTTCAATGCTACAGGATGAGTTGATACCAGGAAAAGAAATGCTAGAAAAGACAGGCTATGCTTAATTCACTTTCTCAGTCTAGCTGGTAACCCATCACACATAACAAACCATAATGAAAATGTTTGTGTCAAATTTAAGGTTAAAATGGAATCTCCTGAGCTTAATTCATAAAAAGGCAAATTTCCAAAATGTGTTTGTGCAAATGGCATTTTGACTTTGCAGACTATTTTAAAAACTAAAACTTCTTTGAGTAACTATTACTTTTATTTAAATACTTTCTGTAAGAAGTGCAAAGTTAGTGTCAACTGTGTCAAAAACAATCTTGTATAATAATTTTGTGTATTTTTAGCTTCAGTATAAACAAAAATAAAGCATTTACTCCCCCCAAATGTATGGCTACTTAGATTTAAGGTGTTTTGTTCTTCTCTTTTCCAATGTAATCATTTATGGCTATTAATAAACATATATGAACAACACTGGACTTCCCACTGTAATTTAACCAGCAAAAACACTAATGGGAGAATTCTAGTCTAAAATATTTTGTTAAGTGTATAACTGAACAAATGTTATCACTCTAATTTTTATATTTCCCCATCAAAGACATGACTATTAAACAACAACTTAAATATTCACAAAGAACTATGAAAGAACTATGAGACAATTAAGTAAAAGGACCCATACAGCTATAAAGCTATAACTTAAGGGCTGAGGTTGTAATTCCATGAGAGAGCACTTGCCTGGCATGTGTAAGCTTATTCCCAGCACCACACACACACACACACAAAAAAAAAAAATACTTAAAGCTATGGAGAGTGACATTAGGCAATCTTATAGGCCTGATCCTGTAATTTTTCTTTATTGACTTAACACATTGTATGAAAGAGGTCAGATCTACAAATCAGAAAACATAAACCAAAGTTAATCTGGTCATGATGAAACTAATGTAAACTGAGTAGATATGAGCAATACTTCAATTATTAGCTGCCATTACTTGAGATTTTTTTGTAATAGACTTTATTTAGCAAATCCTTTCCCCCAATTAATTCACATTCCTGAATTTTAGTGTCTATATTTTACTAATTAAATTTTTACCTTACCAGAAGGCTGGGGATATTACAGCTCAATTGGTAGAGTGCTTGCATAGAAAGCACATGGCCCTGGTTAATCACCAGCACCACAAAACAACAACAAAACCTTTACCTTACCAGAGACCTGGTTAGCATATCAAAACAGTTCACTTTCAGATAAATAACTCACCAGCTGATCCTGGCATAATTACTTTAAGTATAAATGAGTGAATAATATTTACATAGTAGTTAAGGACAATTTAAAATGCAGGTGTATATCTGACAAAGATTTGCAACAGGCATGTGTCAAAAACAATTTTGTACAATAATTTTGTGTAGTTTTAGCTTCAGTATGTACAAAAGCACTCCAAAAATGCAATAATGCAATTGATCTGAACATACACCCCAAAAGGAATATATATAATAAAGAAGTACATGAAAAAATGATTGGTATTAAAAAATATAAGCAGGGAAATACAAATTAAAACCACACTGTGATAACATTTACTATAAACCCACTAGAATGACTGAAATAATTCTATTCCAAGAAGAATGAAAAGAATTCTAGAAAAAATGTTCATAGGCCAGGTATGGTGGCACATGCCTGCAATCCAAACAACTGGGGCAGCTGAGGCAGGAGGATTCCAAATTTGTGTTCAGCCTAGACAATTTAGCAAGATTGGTCTCAAAAAAGGGGGGTGGGTGGGAGTAGGGGTCTATCTTAGTGGTAAAGCACTACTGAGTTCAATCCATAGTACGGCACAAAGAAAGGTTCATAGCAGCTTTGTTTATATCAAAACTCTGGGTCCCTCAAGATAATAAAGGATAAGCAAACTACAGGCATATCCATACTAAATAACGAAAAAAACCATACTATTGGCATGCACATGGATGAACCGCACATGCGCTGTGCTGAAATAATCCTTATCCAAAAGAGCACATTATTTATAAATTTTTTTATTGGTTGTTCAAAACATTACAAAGCTCTTGACATATCATATTTCATACATTTGATTCAAGTGGGTTATGAACTCCCATTTTTACCCCGT